GGAAAAAAAAAAAAAAAAAAAAAGGAAAACAAGTCCAGGGAAGCAATTTACCAACTATGGCTTATGCAGAGCCACAATTCCTTCAAAACTTGTTTTTTTTCCTTCCTTTTTTTTTTATTTTTTTTTTTTATTTCAGCCTGAGGCAATATGAATTTATGGATGCCACTATAACAAAAATCAGTTCTTGTAGTCTTGTTTTTACTTGATGATTTTTGCTACCTTTGGATGCACACTAAGTGGAGGTAAAAGTGTAAGACCAGGCAGTATTTCTTTCAGCAGTATGTAAGAGTCAAGTGGTCAGACAGCATTGCCTTTGCACGAAAATAAATATTTTGCATGAAAATAAAGTCCTGTCATCCAAGCAAGTCACAGCCTACAACAATAAATGCCTCCATAAGCAGGATGTTCATTACTGCTTCTCAGCTAATTAATTTTAGCAAATACCAAATGTAAGCAAATGGTACAGAAAAGTCTCCATGGGACAGACAGTTCCCCACGCAGCAAACTTTGTCAGCTATGGAAACTATTGCTTTCTCTCAGCTCTCTGGTTTTCCTTGCTGGCAGCTGTATCAAATCTGGTGGCAGGTGAGTGTTAGCACAGTACTTTTAAAGAAAAAAAGACAGGAAAGTCAATATAAGCTTTCACATAGTCACTGGAACTATATTAATTTAGAAAAATGCGCTCTTGAATAAAGAACGAATACTGAGAATAACTGGTAGACTTTCAAAGTTTTTCCAGGATTTGGGAATTTTACTGGAAAATTGCTGCTAAATTTTACTTTCAGAATAAGAGAAATTATTTGCTATGTATTATTAATGAAAGCAAACAGTAGCCAAGACCATGATCAACAGATAAGTAGAAAAGTCACACTGTATGCACACAGCTCACAAATGTGAAGACCTACCTCCTGCAACTGGGTTGTCCAATGGTACATCTTCACGTGCTGAATTCAAAGGGTCATGCCTATGTGATTTAAGATACAGGAATCACACCAAGAAATTATCAGGGCTGGTTGGTATTGTTCTAACAAAACATTTTTTTTTTTTTTTATTCCTCAGATATCCGTATCTCAGAGCCATAATATTGAAAACACATGGATTTCACTGAAATTACCTCTGAGGTTCAATATGTACTCCTCAGTCAAAACTACCATCAAAAACTAAGATCCAAATTGAAAATTTAACCTTTAAAAAATAAAAACGTAATAGCAGATATTTCTGTTTTGCAAATACATATAGTTTAATCCACTCTAAAATTAAGAAAAGTTTAAAAACTGGCATTTCTCATGGAGCTTGACTGTTTTTTGACATGTTCTGGTTACCACTGTTCACTGAACTGATGAACAGCATAAATTAATTACTGTTAATAACTAAGACAAATTTGACAGGAAAAAGCAC